TGAATAACCTGTACTTTCCAACGAAATATCCCATGAATGCCTATCTTGTGTACTCAATTTATACACCATACATTTTTATTTGTGAAACTAAGAAATTAGCCACATCTGTACAACTTTAAAAAAAATGTCTCAGTGCTAAATTAGCAGCTCTGCAGAAAAGGCAGGAAGTTGCCATGTCTATCTTAGCAAAACTTTTATTTCTGCTCATGAAGAAGAATTATAAAAGCCTGCAGTTTTGAGACCTTCATCTCTTTACAAGCCATTTTTCCTTTTGACTAGGATTTTTTATAGAAGACTAATGCAGTGAGACCTACAAGTCTCCCAAGTTGTGTTGTTTATTTTATTATCAGTAGCTAACATTTATTGAATATTTACTGTATGCCAGACATTATTAAAAGTGCTTTATGTATAGTAACTCATTTGTAATTTATCTTACAGGTGAGAATAAACTAAGGTTAAATGACATGTGAATATTAAAAGCCTATTAAAACACCCCTGGTAGTCAAAAGCAGGGATTATAATACTAGACAATCTTGGATCCTCAAAGTCCTGTTTTAAAACTGAAAGGCTGGTTGATTTTGAGTTCATGTTTTAATGATCTCAGTGCTCATCATACCAGAGTCCTTTTTAAGAGAAGAGATCCAAAAAAGGCAAAGGATTACTGCCCTTCTCTTCCTTTCCCCAGAATCATGTGATTTTTCTCTGAAATTTCTTAATCTTAGGCCACTCCAGGGAATGACTTGGTAAAATGACTATGGGATTTAGCTAGGTTTGATGTCCTCACTTGAGTGAGGAGTTGTCATGGGCTTCAGCTCATTTCAGGAAGCCAGACTGTCACTTTCCATTCTCTGATGTCCAGGTGGAATGGGAAGGGCTAGGGATCCTCTAGTGCTTCTCTCCAAGTTTGTGTTTATTTTCCATAATGCATATTTTTTCTACATCCAATTTATTGGTCATTTATGCTTCTCTAGTGCTTTGTTCTAGGTTTCCCTTTGAACTTGGTGTGTTATAACATATCACTGTTATACACAGAAAGGAAGAACATGGTTGGTTTCCCTCACTATTAAAGTCTGGATATCGACGGGGAATATAGCACCCAGCATACCACTGACTTTGTGTCTTTAGATGCTGGGAGATGGGGTCTGAGTAGTTCTTTAATCCAAACCTCAGGGCAGCTTGTGCTTAGATCAGGACCTTCACTGGCTGGGGTATTAACTTAGCAAATGTATCTAATATTTTCTACATGTAAGTGATGTAATGATTTTAAGTGCCTGAGCAAAAGGTGATGACTGACCTCTGACCACCAGGGTAGTCCCTCCTCCAGTTTGCTTAGCTCTCGGTCCCTGTGCTGTAGGAAATGCTATTCCACAGATGTAGATTGCACTATCATTTAAAGTCACTCTGTTTACAGTGAGGGAGACTTGGTTTTGTGCCAGAGCTTCCTGCACTGTGAATTTGTCCTCCTCACTTTTGCATCCGTCCAAGCATAGGTTCTCAGGCTGGTGAGCGCCATAGCGAAACCACAGGCTTGTTGGTTGCTTCGAAGGGCATCCAGCAGTGGAGAAGGTACACTCTATGGTGACAGCCTTGTGAGTGTAGTCCACTTCTAGGTAGCGTGGCTGTATGACAGAGATGGTGCAGGCACCCACAGCACCTGCGGGAGAAAGCAGAGGCGAGGTTGAGCAGCCTCTCACCTCACTTTCCCTGTGCTTCTTTTACTAATGTTTGCAGTTGAGGAAACTCAAACCATTCCTTTCTTTTTCTTACCTTATTCTTGAAACAAACAAGACTCTAAAATAGACACCAGTAATCCTCACTTGTCCTAACTGCCCGTGTTTCTTGACCTTCACCTGCTAGTTTGTGTGATGTCTGGTTACTCAAGGAGAGCCTGGAGGCATTCCAGTGGATTCGGCATGAGCAGAGGCAGCAGAATTTCTGGAACCAGAAGTTTGGGTCCAGGTGTACAGTCTTGCCACTTACAAGCTTTTCCTTGATCTTGTGCAGGTCACCTAATCTCTCAGCCTGTTCCTCATCTGCACCCCTGCCTCACAGGAGTGTTGTACCCAACGTGGAAACACAGATCAAAGCTCCTCATGCAAATGTTGCTGCTGCAGGCAGAGCACATGGGCAGTAGTGACTTTTTTGTCTGGTGGGGGTTTGGGTGGCTAGGAATTCATGACAATTCACAATTGTTTCTTTGTTTGTACCCAACGTGGAAACACAGATCAAAGCTCCTCATGCAAATGTTGCTGCTGCAGGCAGAGCACATGGGCAGTAGTGACATTTTTGTCTGGTGGGGGTTTGGGTGGCTAGGAATTCATGACAATTCACAATTGTTTCTTTGTGAGTCTGGTGTCCCTTTGGGAAACATGATAAAAAGGCAAGATGTGCACCTGTGGAAATGCAGCCCTGGCTTGTCTATGACATCTCTGATTGCAGAGGCCAAATGAGCCAGCCATGCCGAGTCTAAGCAGGTCTGATTTCTTCCTGGCCCTTGTGCACTGCTTTATAGTGCCTTGTAACGTCTGTCTTATTTGATTGACAATATTGTGATAAAGAGCACAGACTTGAGTTCCAGTTCTAACTGCCAGTTCCTAGCTCCATGCTCTCTGTGGCTCAGTTTCCTCATTAGCAAAATGGAGATGGAATTATTGATCTCATGTGGTTAGTGAAGTTTAAGTGAGACCATGTGTAGGTATTTACTTGCCTAAGCCACAATAAGTATTTAATAAAAGGCAGTTATTGCTGCAGCTGCCGCACGGCCAGCGCTACTGTTCCCATGGTGTCTGTGCCCATTCTAGAAATGATTGTGGATGTCTGTCCACAAGGTGTTTGCAGAGCTAGGACTGGACACCTGGTCCAGTGCTCTCTCCACCATGCAGTGCTGCTTCTCAAGTTATGGAGACCAGACCCCTCACTTTGGCCTTCTAATCCCAGGCATGTGAAGCTTTCTAGCTGCTTAGTATTGGTTGAGACAGATTGGAAATTTATAGAAGTTTTCAGTCTGACTTCTCACTGGTTGTATGTTTCCAAGTGGTCTTATTTGTCTGAGTTTGTCCTTATTTGTCTGAAATTGAAAAGTAATCCAAGTGGTCTGGTACTTAGTAAGTTTTAGACAGCGGCTTTTTTTTCAGTTAGCCTTTTTTTATAGGTCCTCAGAACAGAAGAGGATTAAAATTAGAATCATGGCATTTGTGGTGCAAGTCTATTCTCACCATGTTTTGATTTTGGTATTCGTATAGTTTGAGATGAGCTGGGAGCTTTATAGTGACGGGAGAAATATAAACCAGATGAGAGGGTAAAGTCACCTGGAGGAGACAGCAGGCTTCTCAGCCATTTGGGTATGCGGGGGGCTCAGCATAGTTCGGTCTGCACCTAAGGGGCTGGGATTCATTCCCACGCCTGATAAGTACAACCTCCCGTCTCCTGGTCAGACTCAGTCACCTTAGAAGTACTGAGGAACACTTTACAGCATATAACAATCATTATATCTTGGAAATGTATCGTGGGATTGGGCCTGCCACAGCACAACAAAGTTGAGCAGTCTTAATCTCAAATTGTCTTTAAAATAAAATTTTTCTAAGGAAGGCTGACTACACACTTTCCTTTAAGAACTAGAGGCACAGGGTAAAATAAGTATTCGTGGCTTTGGAGTTTCATGTCTGAACTTATTTCTGACTTCTCGCAGTCAAAGTGTGGGAGAAAGCCAGTGGCGGCAGTTTCCTGTGAGCGCAGACCTGTGAGGGGGCTACCCTCCTTCTCCACCAGCCCAGTGACACGCTAGCAAAGAGATAGCAAAGAGAGAAGCTCCGATGCTGTGTCACAGCACAGCTGCTCCTCTGAAACACTGCCCTTTCAGAAGTCTCATATTCTATTGATTCCATCAGATTTCTTTTTTTTTAAAACCCAGTATCCACTGAAAATGTTGCAAGTTTATCTCCTGGGTGGAGGGAATAAAAAAAATCACTTTACTATTTTTAAAAATCAAGTTAGAAGGTAAGAGGGAACTAATTTTTGACACTAAAAAAAGCCTTTTATTGTAGAAAATTCCAGACTTAGGCAGAAGTAGCAGGGTGGCATCATGAACCCTTGCCACTGTCCAGCCCCACACAGTCTTGTGTCTTAGCTCTCCCCCACCCAGTCCACTGCGCCCAGAGGATTTTAGGACAAATCCCAGACATTTTATCTGCACATCTTTCAGAATATATCTCTAAAAGATAACACTAATTTAAAATAACGCTAATTAAAATAGTTTATAAAAGTAATGTATACTTGTCAGAAAAAAATAGAATATTACCACACGTAGAAGCAGCAAGTCACCCAGAGTCCTTTCCCCCAAAATAATCACTTAAAACTTTGGTTTATTTCTTTACAAATGAGAAAAAATTAATTTTAAGAGGTTTTGCCCCCTTTCCTGTCCTATAATCCAAATTTTGTGGGCAAATCTGAGGTTATTAGAACTATAAGAAACACTTTCTCTTTCCTAGAGAAAAAATGGGTGTTGGCAGAATTTAAAAAACATGTATTATGGGATGGCTGTTCTCTATAGAAGGAGCCATGGCAGTTCTCAACAAAACACGCACTTTTCATTTACAGAAGTTAAGCTGTTTAGAAACATTCTTTGAGAATATTCAGCAAATATTGTTTAGTGCTCACTATGTGCAGAGTAAGCTTGCTTGTGTGGGAGTTAAGTTGTTGATGACTAGCACATGTGATTTTAAGAAGATTTTTCAACCCTTTGTTTGATGAGGTGTTCCCCAAGGCAGCATAATAGCAAAAGGAATTTTCAAGGTTAATATGAAACTTTGTCTCAGCTATTCTTTCATAATCTATTTCTCTGGGGAAAAAGGAAACTAATCACCTTAGACAATTTCCGTAACATTTTACATTTGAAAATTATTCTGTAGGAGTGTAAAATATAAATGCATTAGGCAAAAAATAGCAATTGATTTAAATAAAATGGCAGAGGAAAAAAAGAACCTTACCGACATAAAGTAGAGTCAGATTGATTGCCATGCCGAGAGCAACCTTGCCTCTGCTCACAGTCTCCATTTCTGTGTGTGTCAGGGGACAGGCAGTGGGGAGGTGGGGTGTGTATTTGAAAGAAGTTGGCTTTTTTTTCCCCCCCAAGAAAGGAAGAACTGAAGAGAGGAACTCTTATTGAGGAACCATAAACAGGAACTTTTTGAAATTGTGTAAAGATGGTTTGTAACCCAGATTCATCATTTTCGCCTGGGGCACATTTCTAAATGTGCTTGTCATTCCCCGCCCTGATTTTACAAATCATCATAGGTGTTAGGTATTTTAAGTGAGATTTCGATTTACACGTATTAGATGTTTTAAGTGAGATTTTGATTTACACGTAGCGCATATTCCCAGGCAGGAATATTGTTTGACAGGTAATTAGCACTTTAGATTTCCAGGGCAGTTCAGTCGCTGGTCCTGGGACACCTAATGTGTGCCTGGCCCTGGGCCATTAGCTGCTGGGAATGGAGAAGCAGAAGGTAGTGTCTTCATATAGAGACAGGAGAAAAAGTAGTGAACAACACATCCTAGTACCAGGAAAAACTAATTGTGCCCCAGTTTTTAATTCAGAGAGCCCTTTCTAATGTGTGTGAAGCAGATGTGTGGGCTCTCTGTCCTCTGCTTCCTACCCTCCTCCCCCATGCTTGGAGGCGTGTTCAGTTAGGTTCTGCTTTGTAAGTAGCAGGAACTGACTCAGGCTGACTTTAAGCAAAGGAAATTTATGGAAATGATTTGGGGGTAGCTCCCAGAGTCACTGGGAAGACTGGAGAACCATTTGTGGGCTCCACAGCCAAGAGAAATGCCCTAAATCACACTGTAAAACAGGTCTGCAGAGCATGGTGCTGCCACCAAGCTCTAGTGCCATAAACTGTTGTTAGTACTCTGAACCGCCACCCCAGCTGCTTGGTCTCATTGCACCCCTGTATGTCCCAGAGATGCGCCTCACATCCCCACTTCTGTGGGTCACTAGCTCCTCATTCCTGGTCACAGGTGAGTGTGTCAGAGCTCAGGTGATGTGCCAGTGCCTCAGCTGCAAGAAGGCCAGGAAAGCCACTTCCCTAGGCCTTGTCTCCCACCAGGACTCTAGGCAGGAAATTCACCAGACATAGGAAGAGAGTTCAGTGCTGGGCCTCCGAAAAGAATGAAAAATAGTCCCACTATAGTGTGCTCTTGGTACCTGCTGATTATGTGTTGTCTCATTAACAAGGTTATTTTCAATCTGGATTTAGTAGTACTTTTAAGGATATGTGTATTTTATAGCATCTAAAAGCACCCTAACATTTAAATGTGCTTATTTTCTTAGTGCGAATTTGAATACTTTACCTAGTCACCTCATTTTCCAGGTGCTGATGCTTATAGATTTGGAAATGAGTGATAGAGACTTCAGTCACCATTCCAAGAAATGCCAGGTTGACTCATCCATTCTCGTGTTCTACCTCTCTCTGGTCCTGGAGCTTAATTTTTATGAAATTGTTCTGAAAAATTAGGGAATGGGTCAACTTCCCTTGAAAAACACACTGATGATCTGTTTTTTATTTATAGACTAAAATCCTTCATGGGCCTATTTCATTTTCAGCCTCATAAATCTCTCTAGGTAGTAAGTTGCGTAAGTTTACTACATCAATGGTATTTTCTTGCATTTGTCCAAAATCCTCTTTTAAATATTATGTTATTCTTTGCTTCAGTATTCTAGTATTTTAATGGCTAGTTTTCTGAACCCGTTAACCATTACAACCCCCAGTCAGTGGTTAACATAGGGTATGATCTGAAACTGTCAGAGAAGGTCACAGTGTGGGCTTTGGGACCCAACAGACCTGGGATTACGTTTTTTGCTCTGACACTCATTAACTTTGCAAGTTGAGGCAAGTTCCTTAGCCCTTCTGACTCTTTGCTCCATATCTGAGCTCACCTGCCTCAGGGGCGGCCTGAGCAGTGTGAAGAAGGCAGTCTTCAAAGCATTCAATGCCTGGTGCATGCCAGCTCTATGGCAAGTGCTGTCCTCCCCTTCCCTTTTTAAATAATGTGTTCGTTCAAGAACTTAACTTCAAGTCTTCAAAGCATTCAATGCCTGGTGCATGCCAGCTCTGTGGCAAGTGCTGTCCTCCCCTTCCCTTTTTAAATAATGTGTTCGTTCAAGAACTTAACTTCATGTTTTCATTTGTTTTAGTAGGTGGCAAGTGGGAGAAACCATCGGAGATTCTGGAAATCAAGGGGCAGAACTGGGAGGAGCAGGTGAACAGCCTGCCTGAGGTTTTCAGAAAGGCTGGTTTTGCTATTGAGGCTTTCACCAGACTGCCGTACCTGTGCGAAGGCGACATGTACAGTGACTACTATGTGCTGGATGATGCCGTCTTCGTTCTCAGACCAGTATAGACATGTGGAGGAAGAAGTCTTCAGAGTCCACCCAAGAAGCTCCCTCCGTAAGAGGGTCTGCATTCACAGTGATGTGAAGGGAGGACCTTTGGGACTGCCATTCTAAATATCATGTAGGAATTTTAAAAGCCAAAATACTAATTATTTCTTTGTAGTGTGTAAAAGGAATGTTTTTAAGAAACAAAAACCCAACTCTGGATTTGTATCAACTCTTTGCTCAGTTAGAGTCACACTTCAATGCAGGTCACACTCCAATTGTGATGGGAGATATTTTTTATACTTAATCACAGTAGGGACTCATTCTCAGACAAAGCAATAGTCATGACTTCATGGAACCAATAAATGGATTGTTTCCAGTAAAATGAAGACTGGCAATAATGCTGTCCACTCAATTCCAAATATTGGTTATAAGGTATAGCCACTGATACTCTTTCATGTTTAGAAATTCTTTCTGTTATTATTCAAGAAAATGTTTTTAATCATTCTAATAAACTTTTTTGGAGATGACTTTGGCATCATGTTTGAGTTAATATAAGCCCCTCTAGCATTTTTATTGCCTCGGCTTCAGGAGTACCCAATCGGTAGCGTTATGTGAAAGATGCAGACAACTTGAATATGTGGTGAAGGAAGCCTTCAGACTGGGGGGCAGAGGAGATTATTGTCAATTGCAGTGAACACTGAGGCAGTGTAGACACCCCTAAAGAGTCTCATTCATGGGGCCGGCCCGGTGGCGCACTGCTACAGTGTGCCGCTTGGGAAGCGCGGTGGCGCTCCCGCCGAGGGTTCGGATCCTGCGTACAGACCGGTTCCCACTCACTGGCTGAGCGAGGTGTGGGAGCAACACCGAGGGTTGCGATCCCGTTGCCGGTCCTGGTCCGGTACGGGCGCGACACTGAGGGTTGCGATCCATTGCCGGACACGAAAAAAGACAAAAAAAAAAAGAGTCTCATTCAGATATAGTACTTCAGGGACCAACCCTACTTCCCAATTCATTTTGCTTTGAGAAATGCAACATACCCGGTTCTAACCTGGTGATAGCTTATGTCCTACACTCAGAACTTTGTTTTTCTGGACAATCTCAGCTTCCCAGAACTGAAACATTCAGTTGTGTCTTCTGACATAATGCAACCTAAAAATGTTTTAATTCAGCTCCTTACTCTGCACTTATATACCTCTTTCCTAGAACTTGGCTTTTCCTGAAATCCTTAACTGAGTTTATTACTAGCCAAGAATATGGGTTGAAAAAGACCATGTAATACTCATGCATTCTAGAATCTGTGCCTCCAACCATAAACACAGAAATGTTGCAATAGAAGAATTCATTAGCAAGATCAGTAATCATTGTGGATATTCCAAAGAACAGAGCACTTAACCCAGAATCTAAAATCTCAGTAATAACAAGAGATGCTGATTTGAGATTGTGGTTATTAACAATATGTTATTCTCACAATTTTATTTCTTTTTTCATTCAGGTGTTTCTTTAAGTATTCTCATTTATATGCTCATAGAAGTCATCAAAGCAACACATTTATTGCAACACCTCGGTATAAAGGAGAATTCAAGCCTTGAGAAGATTACTTTGTTATTCATTAGGAACAACATTCCCACATCCTCACACCAATATCTTCCACTGTTATTGTGTAGTCATAATAAGAGTTGGGTTATGTGATTTATGCAAAATTGTTATTGGTGTGTTCTAATGATTTTTTCCAGGAATTCAAGTAAGTGAAGTACAAATACTTAGCACCCTAGATTGTAAAAATAGAAAGAGGAAATGAGTAAACTTAATGTAGTTCTTGTACAGCTGAGTTTTGCTTCTTTATAAACTGTCTGTCATAATCAGGGGTTGCCGTTTAGACTGTCGAACAAGAGTGATGGATGTTCAAGAGGCAGGTTGCCCCAAAGTGTTTCATAAGTTTCAAGTTGAGAATTAATTTGATAGTCTATTTAAAAAAAACACAACTCATTCTTTACCCAAAAAAGAAGAGAAAGCACATACATTTATGCATTTTAAAGACAAAAATAGTTTCTCAAGAAAATCTGAGGTTGTCTGAGACCAGCTTATAAAAGTGCCATTTTATGGTGAAAATTGAAATCAGCAAATGCACTCACATTTATCTGGTCTTGAAGGTCTTGGTGGTGTGTCACCGTTACGTTAGGTGGCAGTGTTGCTTACTGAGTGTCAATGGTTCCCCCCCCCCCACCAATGGAATCATGTTTTTTTTCCCCAAAGTACAATAAAGCTGCCTTCTTGTCTGCACCATGCCTCGTGTAAAGTGCTTCATATCAAGTTAAGGTTGTGCTAGAGAAATTAAGAGCTCTATTTGTGGTCAAAGCAAGCTAACCAAATGACCTTACAGGTTGGAGCAGAAAGGAAATGCAAGCTGCACCTGTGAGTCCTAGCTCCTTGCACCTGTGTGATAAGCCCCTGGTGAGTTCAGAGCACTGATCCCAAAGAGGGGAAGGAAGGAAGGTACAGTACCCTTAGCCACTTTTCCCTTGTATGGAGTAAAAGCGATACTGTGTTTTCCACCATCCTGTATGGCCTGTCATCAGTCTCTACATAGTTGACTTTGAATGAAAAAATGTGGATTGGGAAATAAAGTAAAACTTAAAAATTGTCCTTGTGAGTAAAGCTTTATTTTCACTTAATTCTGAGGGTAGTATGAGGGTACTTCAAAAAGTTCGTGGGAAGATTCATACTATTTTTTTAATTCTATTTTTTCCATGAACTTTTTGAAGTACCCTCGTATTTAAGGGACTCACAGCGAAGCAAGTGTTTTCATCAACTCCTTCCCACCGCTTGGTTGCTGGTAGAGGTACTCCATGATCTTTTTTCCTCTGACAACAACATATTCATCATGGGCTTCGAGTGGGAAAGTGACTTACAGTGTTTGTGCAGATTGGGCTCTTAATTCACTTGAAATAATCAAGATGC